AAGCAATGAAATCAGAAAGCACATTCGATTTCTAAATTCTATATACATCAGCACCCATAAGCACAACTCTAATAATCAATTGTGCAACACCCTATTATATACCAAAGTCAGTGAGGTGAAAAACAGAAGATAGAAAACAGGTAGTCTAAGAGAATGATACCAACTTATCTATCAGGGAAGCATAAATTAGGAATTTTAGTTTTTTAAAGAATATAACATAATCCTTAGTACACAGTAAATGTTGAAAATATTAAATGAAATTTATATATATAATCTTTTCTGAAGATGTTAAATCTCTTCTATAAGTAGATGTTTCTTAATATACTTTAATTTTAAATTTAAAACATTTAACCAAACCAGTACACTTGTTTTCCTCCCCTTTTACTGAATATAAGATTACTATTGAAGCATTTTCTTTAGTCTTTCATCTAAAAAAAGATTTCTTAAAATAAAGTAAATGTAAAGAAGTACATAAGAAATCCCAGATTTTTTAATACTTTTTTCCACATATGAAGTTAAAATTTTTTCCTTTCAACAAAAATATGTTGAAGATGACAAAAGAAAGAAGGTAAGCAGTGTACATTTGAAGTCAGTCTTTAAAATTCCAAATATGGAGAATATCAGATGAGTTATCCAGAAATGGCCAAAATGCAGCAATCTTGAGAAAGAAGAACAAAGTTGGAGGGATCATAATACCATATGCCACTATACCATATATCAAACTATACCATATATCAAACTATACTGCTGTGATCAAAACAGCCTGGTACTAGCATAATAACAGGCATATAGATCAATGGAACAGAACAGAGAGCCCAGAAATCAACCCACGCCTTTATGGTCAATTAATATTTGATAAAGGAGGCAAGAGCATACAATGGAGTACAGATAGTCTCTTCAATAAATGGTGTTGGGAAAACTGGACAGACACATGCAAAAAAAAAAAAAAGAAAGGAAACTTATGAGGAAACATTTAGTGACTAGAGGCCTGGTGCACGAGATTCATGCACTAGGATTTGTGCACTCAGGAAGGGGGGAGCGGGAGTGCGGAGGGGTTGGGGGGGTCCATCAGCCCAGCCTGCACCCTCTTGCAGTCTGGGAGCCCTCGAGGATGTCTGACTAAACTGGCAGTCCGACACCCGTAGCGCTGCCGTGGAGGTGGGAGAGGCTCCTGCCACCACTGCTGCGCTTGCCAGCCATGAGCCTGGCTTTTCTGAGTGGCGCTCCCCTTGTGGGAGTGCACTGACCACCAGGGGGCAGCTCCTGCATTGAGCATCTGCCCCCCTGGTGGTCAGTGCACGTCATAGCAATCGGTCGTTCAGCTGTTCAGTCGATTTGCATATTAGCCTTTTATTATATAGGATTCGAGCTTAGAAGAGAAGCAGCACAAATCATAAACTTGACCTCATCATAATTAAAAAATGTCTGATTTTTGAAAGATAAATAAGAGAATGAAAAGATAAGCAACATAATGTAGAAAATACCTTAAAAAATATATATCTCTGGCAAAGGGTTCCCATCCTCAAAACATAAACTTGTCTTAATATAGGAAAGAAATGGAAATGAAAAAAATAAAGAACCCAACTAAAATGGGCACATTTAATTCACCAAAGAAGATAAGTGAATGTCAAATAAACATCTAACAATTACTCAGTATCATTAGTCATTAGAGTTGGCTGATACAAATTAAAACTCAGCATGACTACACATTTACTATGATGGCAAAAATTTAAAAACTAATGAAACCAAGTGGTGGCAAGATGTGAAGCCACTGGAATCGCCACACAGTTCTTGTGGGAAGGGATAATGGTACAATCACTCTGGAACTCTGGCTGTTTCTTTTAAAGTTAAACATACAATTCCGTATGATCCTGAAATTCCACTCCTAGTATTTACCCACAAGTTAAAACATATACCTATACCAAAACCTGTAGGTGAATGTTTATAGAAACTTTATTCATAATTGCCAAAACTGGAAACAACACAAATATCCATCAATAGGGAAACATAAAGAAATCGAAGTAATTGTCAATAGAATGGTACTCATCATTAAAGAGGAATGAATATCAATGAATAACAGCATGGATAAATCTAAAAAACATTATGCTAAGTGAAGGAAGCCAGAGAAAAAGAGTACATATCCTTGAATTCAATTTATATGGCATCCCTAAAAATGCAAAAACTATAGGGGCAGAATCACTACCAGGGGCTAGGGGTGAGGGAAGGGGCTGACTGCAGAGGGGAATAAGAGAACTTTTGAGGATGATAGAAATGCTCCGCATCTTGAACATAATGGTGGTCACATGATATTCATGTGTCAAAAGACATCAAGCTGTGTATTAGTCAGGGTGAATATTACTGTTTGTAATTTATACATTAATAAACCTACCCTTAAAAAAAGTATGCAGACTTGTAAAGGCTTTTGCTATAGATTGCCAAATTGACCTTCCATTAACAATTTCTCCTACTCCCACTGAATTGAAATTCCCCTGGCATTCTATATCTCATCAGCCTCAATATAATCAGATTAGTATTTTAGGCTTTTCCCAATTGATAGGTTCTTTTAAAATTCTGCCTCTCTGTTTTGATTTGCATATCTCTTAGTTTTTAGTGACAGCAAAATTTTTCTGCCCTAGCTGGTTTGGCTCCGTGGACAGAGCATGGGCCTGCAGACTGAAGGGTCCCAGGTTCCATTCTGGTCAAGGGCACATGCCCGGGTTGCCGGCTTGATCCCCACTGGTGGCCGTGCAGGAGGCAGCCAATCAATGATTCTCTCCCATCACTGATGTTTCTATCTCTCTCTCCCTCTCCCTTTCTGTCTCTCTAAAAGAAAAAAAATCAATGAAATATATTTAAAAAAAAATTTTTTTTTCTCATATATTTCTTGGGCAGTCGTATTTCTCTGTTCTGTTGATTCATTCCTTTTAATCGCTTTAAGAAAGTATTTGGTTGTTTTTATTAATGTTTTTACATCTTGCTATATATCCTCAAATATCTGTCATAATATACGCCCCCCTTTCTCATTGCCTTTAATTTTTTTCAATTTTTTAAAATATACAGATAGCTTAAAATTTGAAATTTCTCAGTATTTTCTAAGATTTTTTTCTTTTGTATTTTTTACTTAGAAATTTCTCCCCTCATGTAAAGTTCACTTAAATATTCAACTAAATTTTTTGTACTTTTTTTAGACTCATTTTTTTAATCTTTTAACATTTCAGCTGTGTAATATAGTGGCTACTAGCCACATGGGGTTCTTAAAATTTAAATTAATAAAAATTCAATTTTTCCCCTATGTTTTCTTCTAGTTTTATGATCTCAGGTCTTACATTTAAGTCTTTAATCCATTTGGGGTTAATTTCTGTGTATAGTGTAAGATAAAAGTCCAATTTCATTCTTTTGCATATAGACATCCAGCTTTCCCAACACCATTTATTGAAGAGACTGTCTTTTTCCTGTTGCATATTCTTGGTGCCTTGGTCAAAGATTACTTGATCATGTATGCCTGGGTTTATTTTTGAGCTTCTCTACTCTGTTCCATTGGACTATTTGTTGTTGTTGTTGTTGTTTTTAATGCCAATAGCATAGTGTTTTAATTACTCTAGCATTGTAATATAGTTTGAAATCAGGAACTATAATGTCCCCAGCTTTGTTCTTTCTTAAGATTGCTCTGACTATTCAGGGTCTTTTGTAGTTCCATACAAACTCTAACATGGTATTTTCTATTTCTATGAAAAATGACATTGAAATTTTGATAGAGATTGCACTGAATCTGTAAATTGCCTTGGGTAGTAAGGATATTTTAACGATATGAATTCTTTCAATCCACAAACACTGGTTAGCAACGATTTTTTGCATATACACCAAAAGCACAGGCAACAAACCCAAAACAAACAAGAAAGAGTATGTCAAACTAAAAAGATTCTACACAGCCAAGAAAACCATCAACAACATAACAAGGCAACCTATGGGATAGAACAAAATATTTGCAAACCATGTATCTGATAAGGGGTTAATATCAAAAATATATAAGAACTCATTAACTACAAAAACAAACCCAAATAACTCTATGTCTCCATAGTTTTGCCTTTTCCAAAATGTTATGTAATTGGAATTATACAGATTTTCACTTAATAATATGCATTATTTAAGATTCCTCCATATCTGTTCATGTCTTGCTCATTTCTTTTTAATTTTGAGTAATACTGCCCTATCCAGATATGCTACAGTTTATTTACCTATTCACCTGTTAAAGGACATCTTTGTTGCTTCAAATTTTGGCAATTACAAAGAAAGCTGCTATATATATCTATGGGTAGGTTTTTGTGTGGTTTTATGTTTCCAACTCCTTCAGGTAAATCCCAAGGAGTATAACTGCTAAATCAAATATTAAGAATATGTTCAGTTTTGTAAAACTACCAAATGATCCTCCACAGTGGTCATACCATTTCGCATTCCCAACACCAATGAATAAAAGTTCCTGCTGCTCCACGTTCTCGCCAGCATTTGGTGTTGTACACACAATTCAAATGCTTAATGGCCACATGTGGCTAATGGCTACTGCACTGGACAATAATATACAGAATATGTCCATCATCACAGAAAGTTCTACTAGAAATGCTGCTCTATTGAAAGCTTAGTTGTTTACACACAGGAGGAGCTAATGTGACAGCTTTTTATTTTTTCTCTGCATAAAACCCATCTCTTCTCCCACTGGATACTGATGGGTCTTTGTATTTGCTCAGGTCAAATTCCTGTTCAGCCACTTGTGAACTAGTTGCCCATTAGCAAATTATTTAACCCTCTGAGTCTCAATTTCCTCATCCAATCACTTATTAGTTTAGTGCATTAAAAGTTAGATAAGCAAGGTAAGATAAATTACAACATTCATCATGTTAAGTCCTCATTTGTAAACCCATCTGGATTAGGAGTTTGTTTTTTGAATATCTCAGTATGGCACTTTGAGGACTCTTCATAAAAGCAAAGTTTAATACTGTATTTACCTGATCTGGATTTTTGTAACCCAGGAGTAGATTCGCTGCTTTTATATCACCATGAACATATTCATTTTCATGTATATATTCCAGTATATCCAACTGTGAAAAGAAATAACTAAGGTTATACTAATGTCTATTTAGAACTCATGATCCACTTGAAGATTTTGAGTTTGGAATAACATGTACTTTTATTTTTTCATATTAATAATGACAGTGACATGCTTTGCAATTATTTATCTTTTCTAAAGTAGCACATGTACTGGCTACTCATCCTGAGAAAAGTTAAGTAAAATGACCCTTTAGTATCAAGTGTTTTAATTGAAACTCTAATGAAAGAAAACCAAGATTTAACAATGCCTGTGCTCCTCACAGCCCAGTGGCCGAATCACACTGTGCCAAGAGCAAAAACTCAGCCCTAGCCAGTTTGGCTCAGTGGATAGAGCGTCAGCCTGCGGACTCAAGGATCCCAGGTTCGATTCCGGTCAAGGGCATGTACCTTGGTTGCGGGCACATCCCCAGTAGGAGGTATGCAGGAGGCAGCTGATCAATGTTTCTCTCTCATTGATGTTTCTAACTCTCTATCCCTCTCCCTTCCTCTCTGTAAAAAATCAATAAAATATATTTTTTTAAAAAGTGCAAAAACTCAATAAAATCAGAGATCTAAACTGAAATAATCCTGAAGCCCACGCAGCAATTCCTTTCTCAAGGAATAATTATAAATCAAGTTTTGGGGACCCCAGAACAAAACATCTTGTCCATCAGCACAGAGAAAGGCAGTCTCCCTCTGCATAGAAGGAGTTAATAAACCTCAGTTTCATCTCTGAATCCCTTGAGCTCTGCATGTTACCTACCCCCAGTGTTCAATAGACATTTGCTGGCTGGGTAGATGGATGAATGGACAAATGGGAAAATTAATGAGTTCTATTTGCCACATCCCAACCTGGCATGAGTATTTTCATTCTATTTAAGATGGAAACAAATAAAATGGAGCTTAGGCAAACCAAACACAAACAAGATAAGACAAATATGTGGTATAAACAAAATGTGTGCACGGGTGCTATTAAGATTTCATTGCTTCTTATTTGGCAAAGTATATATTACTCATTGCCACACTAATTACTGCCACCATCCCAAACTCATAATAAAAACTGTATAGCACCCCCATACCATCATGTTTAGTATGGGAAATAATATAATCTGGTATAGTTTGCATTATTATAAATATAACTGACAAAAGAGATGTTATTCTTATAGGAATGCAAGCTTGTTCTGGTATGTAAAACAAAGCTGTGTGGGAAAACTCAGACGGTGGAACCAATGCTTAATCGAATCTGTAGTGCCAAACACAGCACATTCTGTCACTTACAGAGCCCACCGTTATCAATTTCACCAAAATAGCCCCTTTCTCTCAATAAGTGACATTTCTAGAGCAACAATCCTTCCTCTTCTGATAATTCCACAAAGGACAACAATTTGTAATAAGTAAATAATCTGAAAATAGAGCCGTGTGAAAGAAGTCATTCCTTCTTACCATCCGAATACCTAGCTGCAGGACAGTTGACTTTCTGAAAGTACCATTCTGGTCAGAGATCTTCTGTAAATCCATTCCTAGTCTTTCCATTACCATAAATCTGTAACTGTAAGAGGAAGATGTCAAAAAGAGATCTTAAGATGGCAATTCCTGAAACTTTCTATTTATGAACTGAAAAAAGAAAAAGTATACCCAATCTAACAATAGAGAACAATGCAATATGAACCATTAGAGAACAACTGTATATTAATAATGTTGTTCTTTTGCAGAAAGATGTTATTTAGTATTTTATTTTGCAGTTAGTTTCCTAGAAGAGAATGCTGTGCTTAGATCACACTGTCTTAGATCAGCGGGCGCCAACCTTTCGGACCTCACAGACCACCTGTGGTCCACGGACCAGTGGTTGGCGACCACTGTCTTAGATCACAGGGGGAAAAAAAAAATCTTTCTATATTAAATAGTCTGAATTTAATTCATTTTGACTCCATTACCTTCTCGCCATATAGCCTTGAACAAATTACTTGTCCATACAGAAACTGTTATTTATATTTGTTTTTGACCTTATAAAATCATATGTACTGTCTCTATACATTTAGAAACGTGCCTTTTCTTAAATGCACTTTTTCCTTCCTTCACTTTTTCCTTCCTTCATCTACCCCTTCTGTTCTTCCCTTCACTTACACACCCACATAGGACCCTATTCTATATCTATCCATGTGTACACACACAAGCTCAGACATATAGAAACTTTTGTCTTCATTTTGTAAAAATGCGATCTTACTATGTGCACTTTTCTGCATCATACGTTTCTCAGTAGTATATGACTGAAATCCTTCCCAGTCAATGGGTATAGCTCTGACTGACTTTAACTGTACAATATTGCATGATAGGGATGTAACATGCTTAGCCATTCAGTCTCTTTTTGGCAGCCCTTTACTTTGTTAGATTATTGTTTGTTCATTTAGTTTTCATTTAAAGTATTTAAAGACCATCTGAGCAAAGAAAGCATTAACCTCTGAGCCTATTTTTTCACCTAAGAAAAAAGTATCACCTATTTTAAAAGGCTGTTGAAAGGCCCAAATGGGTACCTAACAAATGACAGCATTTCTTTTTTCTTTTTAATATTACTATCTGTGATTTACTAGTATATGTGGTGATTAGCTATACTTGGCGGTTTTTAAAAATTGTTTTGCCTCTTCGCAAGAGATAGAGCTTCATTAATTCTCCTCTCCTGAGTAAGGGCAACTTTTAGTGACTTGTTCCTAGCGAAGAGAATACAGTAGAAATGATAGGATATCACTTCTCACATTTGATTATAAAAAGACTGTGACTTTCTTCTTGGACGTATGCTCCTGTATGTGCGCCTCCCTCCCTCCTTTGAGTTACTTGGTCGAGGAGAAGCCAGCTGCCATGTCTTCATAACACCAATGGGGAGACCTGCATGGAGAGGATCTGAGGCCTGCCAACAGCCACATAAATGAATTTAAAGCAGAACCTTCCCCAGTCTAGCCTTGAGATGACTGCAGCCCAAGAGACAGCTGACTACATCCTCATAGGAAGTCCTGAGCTAGAACCATTCAGATAAGGCAGATAACTAGTGCCCTAATGTACGGATTCATGCACATTGACAGGAAATTAATTAGAAGGCGGCCGGCAAAGCGGGACTGGGCGAGATGGGCCAGACACACCCTGAAGCCAACCTCCTGCAGTCCCTCCTACATCAGCTGCACCTGGGGCAGCACCACAGCTCAAAGGGCATCTGGGGAGTGAGCGAGGTCCCTCCGGCAGGTGGGGTCCCTAGTCTGGCCTGTGGGGATCGGGACAAAACTGGCTCACCGACATCCCCCGAGGGGTCCTGGATTGCAAGAGGGCAGATCTCGGGTGACAAGCCCCAGAATCAGGCTCCCTCTTCTCTGATCCCGGGGTGCATCACCCGAGAATGGCCGCTGCCAAGTCACCGCAGCTTGACAGCTCCTGCGTTGAGTGTCTGCCCCCTGGTGGTCAGTGCATGTCATAGCTACCAGTCAGAGTGTCTGTCCCCTGGTGGTCATTGTGCATCATAACTGCCGGTTGGATGGGCATTTAGCCTTTTATATATATATAGATGGATCCACGGAAATTAAGATAATATTAGTTTGCCCATCCAGTGTGGCTCAGCATTGACCTATGAACCACAAGGTCACGGTTCAATTCCTGCTCAGGGCACATGCCCAGGTTGCAGGATTGCCCCCGAGGGGGGGGGGGGGGGGGGTGTGCAGGAGGCAGCTGATCTATGATTCTCTCTCATCATTGATGTTTCCATCTCTCTTCCTCTTCCTCTATGAAATCAATAAAAAATATATTTTTAAAAAAGAGATAATATCAGTTTGTTGTTAAAAAAACAGCACAGTTTGGGTATTTCTTATATAGCAACAGATAATTAATTGGCCACATTAATAACAGTGATTGGACAATATTTGATTACTAGAGGCCTGGTGCAACCAAAGGGTGGGGTGTCCCTCAGCCCAGCCTGCACCCTCTCGCAGTCTGGGAGCGCTCAGGGAATGTCCAATCTGAGAGTCAGACATCCTTAGCGCTGCCGCGGAGGCGGGATAGGCTCCGGCCACTGCCACTGCACTCACCAGCCGTGAGCCTGGCTTCTAGCTGAGCGGCACTCCCCCTGTGGGAGCGCACTGACCATCAGGGGGCAGCTGCTATGTTGAGTGCATCATAGCGACTAGTCGATCAGCCGTTCGGTCAATTTGCATGTTAGGCTTTTATTATATAGGATAATAATTTCATTTACCTTCTTTCCTTGAATTCAGTAAGACCAGATCCATAAAACATGGGAATTCCTAAATAATCAAGTTGTTTGCGTTCTATCCATTTTTTTACTGTAAAGACAAATTTAAGAGAAAAAAAGATATGTTTTTAAAAAGGTATTTCGTACTATTACAATGATGTTAAAACTTATTTAGCTAACCTAAATAGAAATAATACCTTCCTAAAAATTTTTATAAATTAAATATATCTATCTAATGGCTTAAAATTCTATTAGAGAATTTTTAAATTAAATGTTATAACCAAAACAAAAGTAGTCATAGTCATAAAATACACTGTTATCATATACACAAATGTTTGTATTCATGAAAAAAGGTAATTCCCTTCTATGCTAGTAAAATTTTTAAATATAACATGTTAACCACCAAAGGATTTTCTTACTTATTACTTAATAATCTAAAGCCATGGTAGAAAAAAAACAAACAAAAAAACAAAATAAAAAACAGAAATTGGGCAGATAAATTCTTACAGATTTTTTTTTATTAAATGTAGCTTTGAAAAAAATCAAATCCACTTAAACAATCACGTAACTTATTTAATTTTTCACTTTTCTACCATGTATGTTTAATGATTAAGACAGCTCTACTGATAAACAATCAAGTTTAATGGATTCTATTTGTCACCCTGACATACTTTAAGCAGTCAGTAAAGACTACAATATTAATGCTTAGAAGATTTTACTAAGGGAAAAAAGTTAATTATGGAGGCTAGTCTCATCATTCTTTTTCCTGAACATAATGTAAAGGACCTTGACTATAAAGTCATTATTCAAATGAACTTCCTTAAAGCTTCACTTAGTCCATGTATAACATAGTGTTTATAATTTTTTTTATTCTTCTTTAGATATGTTCATCTCATTTCACATTCAAGTCCTCTAACTGGTAGTTTTCATATCTGATACTCAGCTCCAATTAACATTCACACTGTAGCATTTTTAACTTATTTTCTAAATCTTAACGTTTAATCGTATCTATACACCTATCCTAATCCATTCTAAGATCATTCCTTTTGTTTAAATATCTACTGCCCATTTTAATTATTTTTCCTTGAAACCTTCCTATCCAAATGGATGTGTTTTGTTTGTTTTTTAAATTTCATTCTATTATCTTTATACTTAGAGAACTCTTGGCAGCTTGAATCAACAATACAACAATATGTAAAATAGTAGAAACAATTTTGTAATATAACCCATTATCAGGTAATATCAAAACTTGTACACCATCTGTCTTTTTTATATGTTGTAACAGTTAACTGAATAACTTTACAATAACATTTCCAATTGAAAAGAATTTTCCAGAAGGCTAGAAAAAGACAAAAATATTTACACTCACTTTAGCAAGTATATATATGGAAGTAAATTGCTTTGCTAATTTTACTTACTGCATTCTTTTTTTGCAGCTCTTTGGTAAAATTTAAGTTCTGAAAATAATGGGCCATTTTCTTGATACTCCTATAAAAGAAAAGAATAATTTATTTGATTTTTTATCCTAAAGATAAAATTGGTATTGCAACTAGGAAAATATGAATATACATATGTATTATACAATAGTACTTTAATCATTTATTATAAAACACAGATTTCCACTAAAAATCTCCAAAAAAATACTAAGTAAACTTAAAAGACTCTCATTTTTAACTTTAACACATTATAATGCTATCTCTACACACATTTACACATGAAAGTAGTCTTCTTAATGAAAGAAATTACTATAAGCACTCAGAACTATATACATACACAGACACACAATGTGTACCAACAGGCACATCATAATACACTGCAAACTACCTGGTGGTTCATTCTACATAATACCTTTATTTTTTTTATTTTTTTATTTTAAGTTTATAGTTTATTAATCCTCTCATGAAAAATCTGCACAACCTTGACAGATAAAGTCACCGAAGAATCTTTACTCCTGTAGTTCAATCTCCAGCTCACTGTCAGACACTTCATTTCTTTTTGCCAGCACCAACGTTGGCCTTTTGCAGTCCCCCTGACTTTCTTCATTCTGTTCTTGCGTTCCTTTCTGTTTTCTTGAGGTCTTATTCTTCTCATATAGGCCATGTCTTGCAAGTCTATGTTTGGGTTCGTTTTTCTTTGCGTCATCCAAGGAATCATAAATCATGCCAAAGCCAGTGATCTTGCCACCACCAAAGTGGGTTCTGAATCCAAACACAAAGATGACATCAGGTGTGGTCTTATACATTTTGGCTAGTTTTTCCCGGATTTCTGTCTTGGGTACTGTTGCCTTCCCAGGGTGAAGGACATCAATGACCATTTGTTCCGCTGAAGTAGTCTGTTGGTCATGAACTTCCTGGTCCAGATGGTTACTGTGTCATTCAAGATGAAGGTTGGTCTTCAGGCAGCCAGGGAGGGAAAGAGCTCTACATAATACCTTTACTGAGTACCTACTATATTTCATTCACTGCGCTAGATACAGGGGATACAAACAAAAACCAAACCTCATCCCTGCCTCTAACAACCATACCATCTAGAGTAGATAGGAAGGAAAAGGGGAAGTAGGGGAGGGAAAAGAGGATATATAGCTAGATAAGATACAACGGTTATAAGTGTTAACACAAAAGAACAAAGTTCTCCAGTCTTCACATTTTAACAATGTGAAACTACATCATAACATTAGGTTTAATGATAAGTAAAATTATGAAAACTATGATGAGAAACATTTTTACAAAACTAAAGTAGAAAAGAAAAAGTCAAATATATGCGAAATACAAATATAAGAGCAATACTTACCACTTTTATTACATGTCTTGCATCTTTATCTGGTTTATTTGTGGGGAAAGCTGCAGAACAAAACACGATGGGGGAAAACAGTTGTTCCAAATTATTGAATGCCTACTATATTCCAAATACTGTTCTAAGCACTTCACATATATTAATTACATCCTCCCAAAAACCTCTTATTGCAGGTATCATCTCCATTTTATAAAAGATCTTACTAAGGTTTGACAAGTTGAGTAATTTTCTAAGTAGCAGATTGGGGATTTAAATCCAAACTGTCTGACACCATAGTCCACACTCTTTACCACAACCATATTCAAATATTCAAGTAAGTAACACCAACAAATGATATTAATCACATAGATCTAAATGTCAGGGAAAATATTTTCTAGATATATAGCATTAAACCCAATATATGATATATAGTAAAATCTATTGGTTAAAGTTTACTAAACTAAAATCTATGATAATTCAGAAATTAAAACTGATTCATTTTAAGTAGAAGTTCAAAACAATTTCTACTTGGTAAAATTCTAAAATAAGTCAAGCTAGAATAAGAGCAAAGTCTTTTAAAAATTATCTTGTGAGCCTGGCCATCAATTATCCCAACATTAAAGAATACATATTTCATAATATAAGCTCATTTCAAGCTATCTTATTTCATTTTATTATTTCCACTTGCATTTTGGATATAGTAATCCAACTTCTGAAAACTCCATTGTTAAAATTTTAGATCAAATCAATACTTTCACGTTATTTAAGTTATTAACAGATTCCTCTGTTTTCAAATCTTGATCAGGGAAGTTGATGTGTATATTTATTTGAATTGTGAAGTCTAGAATTTTGTCATTCATCTTTTCACTCTTCATCCATTTATTCCTTCATTCAACTAACAAATATTCATTTATCAAGAGGCTGGAATATGCAAGGCACTGTGTTAAGCATTAGGATGATGTTTAAAGGGAAGTGAAAGGGAAAAAGGTGAAACTAGTATTGAATGCAATTGAAAATCAGCACTTAGACTGAGATCAAGGTCAAATTCTCCAGGTATATTTTCAGTATGTTTATAAAAATGCTGCATCCTCTTATCACTACTCCCAGCATTTTTCCTGTTCTTTCTCCTAACTCTATCAACTGTTCTATTAATTCACATGATAGACGTAAAAAGTATTTCACCACTACACTAAAGTATATACCTTGTACTTTAGAGTGGTATACATGCACAATTTTCTTAACCATGCTTCAACAATTTGATGTCTGCAATGCTATTAACCAGTTGAAGAAATTATTACTTCAATTTTAGTAAATATTACATATAAATTGTGAACCCAAACATCTTTAAAGTAACAAAGAAACTAAACTTATATCAACTAAATTTCTCTTTTCATCTTTATTCACATAAAGTCATTTCATTTTTACTCATGCAGTAGTCCCAAGGGAACTGCAGGAGGAATGGATCGTCTACATATAAGGAGAGGAAAAAACTATACACAGAAGAAGGGACCCAGTCCTGCCATAGAAGAAGAAGTAAAAATAGCCTTTCCTCCCATCCAATGGCAAATCACTTTCCCCAGTATGATGCTCAAGGCTGGGGAGAAATAGGCCTGCCCTCACCTTGGACCACATAGTACAGTACCAACTGTAGACAATGGTCTTTGCTTTCTGAGGTATAAGTTGGTACAAAAATTTCCTGCTTCTCTCTAAAAGTAAGAGGCCACAGCAGCAAATACATTTTTAAGCCACACAGAATGTAAAAAAATACAAAAGGAAAATGGGGATTTCAACTAGAAAAATAACATATTATATTGCTATTGGGGGGAAAAAGATATGCAACCAATCCAAAGTCCTACTCCTTGCTGATTTCAATCAGTATACCTCGACCACTGTATTATCTGAATATTCCTTTCACTCTATTTCACATGAGCATAAGCATGCACTGACATATTCTTGAAACATCCCCATACTTGTCATTTGATGGCTGCACAATGTTCTCTATAAACCTCCAAGTCAGATTATGCTGGAGAGTCTACATCCAGAATCAATTGACTAGAAAGCTTTTGGAGACAGATGTTAAACAAATAAATTGTCCTAGTTACCATGCAGCTCTCTTTACAGTAATCAATCAGTTAATTAATGAAAAAAAATATTTATTTTCCACTGTAAAGCCAAGCCACATTCTAGTTAGTGAAATTAAATGATCATGGAAAACAGACATGGTATCTGCTTTTATAGTCTAGTGGAGAAACCAGACATTCATCAAATATTCAAACACAAGTGTAAAACTGTAAGTATAATAAATGTTAAAGGGAGAGGTAGATGGTACTAGGAGAATGTATAATTTCATTTATATAAAAGGAAATGCTTGAGCAAGATTAGTGGGAGAGGTGGTGAAGGGCTAGATGGAAATCTAGTTAATAATTTCTAATGAAAGATTTTTTTAAAGTTTGAAGTATATATGGAAGACAGGAAACACAAAATTAGATTTGCATTCGGAACAGATCACTACATTACACTGTGGAGAACAGACTGAAGGGGAACCACAGTAGATACTGACAGATCCGTAAGGATTTAATTTTGGTAGAACAGAAGAGAGAGGACTATAGCCTGAACTAGAGTATCAATGTTAGATATAAAGAAAAGTGAAGATTCCAGAGATTTCAGAAACTGATAGGACTTAACAGTGGAGGGAAAGGGATCTAGTTTGGTAAGTTACAGCTTGTTTGCCCTATTGGGGGATGAGAAGAATGATCTGATCAATCACCGACACTGACAGCGCTGAAAGTAGTAGTCTCACATCTTCATTTAAATTTCTGACGAGAGATCTGATGACCTGATAAGGAATGTGCTGTGCACATATGTGATATTTACCTTCCTAGCATTTCTTTTTTATTGGGAACTTGATCTGGTTTTTCCTTTGAGGAACCAAACCTCCCACTCCTCATGAGGACCTAGGAGGGCTGCCTATCACAGCGAACACTCCCTTATGTCCCAGAGTTAGGCACATGACCACTTTGGCTAATTGGAAAACACAAGCCTACTGGCCACAGTAACCAGTTCAGAAATGGCAAAGTGCCCCAACTATGTCATAAAAAGTCTTCCTAGGATTTGATGTTAAAATGCTAAGTTAGACAAGATAGACCATAAGCTATAAAAATACCAAAACCCTAGAAATAGTAGCAATCACTTTCCTCAGTCAAATGGGAAATAAAATCTGAAAATCAAATCCAACACTGAGGAAAGTAGGGTTAAGGCAGAAAGAGAGTTAGACCCCTAGTGACACTGCTTCAAATCTATCCATGTCTGAAGCCAGAAAGCCTGCACTTATCAGTTACAAGAGTAATAACACACACCCCCTTTTGCTTTTCTTGTACTTTTCTGTTAATAGAGTTAATAAATCCCCCTTTTGCTTTTCTTGTACTTATCAGTTATAAGAGTTAAAATCCCCTATTTGTGTTGTTAACATTGGCAACCAAAATCTACACAGGCAACTGGAAAAATTAAAATATGATGGATTCTGGTAAAGAATGTCAATAGACTAGCACACTAGATTAACCGAAAACCTTCCTCTATAAAAATAAACAGGATGTTGAATAAAATAAATCAAACTTATAAATGCAGAGGTGATCTGCCAAGATAGATAGATAGATAGGTAGGTAGGTAGGTAGATAGATAGATAGATAGATAGATAGATAGATGGATGGATGAGCCAAAGATATCTAAAAGCCAGTGAGAGATATACATGAGCACTGATGTTCCAGGTTAGGCTGCAGACCTGAAGGAGGCTGCCCAGTCAGGGCAACAAAGAATATGAGTGTTAAAGCCCTCCTGGGAATAGGACAAGTCCTTTGGCCAGCAAGAGGCAGACATCTGAAGTTAAGATGGCCACATAAAGTCAAAATTTTCAAAGTGCTACATCTTCAATAGAGTGGGACAATAAAAAGATGGGGAGATGGGGAAGGGGGATATACAAAATATAAAGAAATCAAAGTATACCACCATGAAAAAAATCATCAAATCACAAATGAGGAGAGCAAGAGAAGAAAAGAACAAAGGTACTACAAACCAGCCAAAAAACAATTACGAAAATGACAAGTCCAAACCTATCAATAATTGCTTTAAATGTAAATATATTAACTTACCAAATAAAGACAGAATGGTTGAATAGATGAGAAAAAAAAGACAATTATGTGATGCCTACATGAGATTCACTTCAGCTTTAAAGACACAGAGATTAAAAGTGAAAGGATGAAAAAAAATGATGTTCCATTTAGTGGAAATCAAAATAAAGTAGGAAAAGCTATACTTATCTCAGACAAAATAGAATTTAACCCAAAAACTGTTATGAGACAATGAACAAAGACATTATATAATTAACATAACAATAAAGGTATTAGTTAATCAAGGGGATATAAATTGTAAATATTTATGCACCCAACATGGGTTTGTTTCCATGTTTCCGTATCTCTCACTATCTTTTAAGATCTCACAGGTTTTTAGGGTCAGAGGAACTGAAAACTTCTTCCCCCAATAAAAACCTGTTATTTTTACAAAGATACCATAATGAATTCAATTCATATTACCTAGATAATTTCAGAACATTTACACCTGTTCTCCAGTTTCTGGAGTAGAAATTTTGAAATCATATAAGTCTATACAATTTTTTTCTTCTTGTTGGTATCACACAGCAACATTTGCCCATTAGATACACAACTCTGTTTTGCTTTCTTCTCACTTTTCTTGGAATGTATTGTGAGAGAATTTTTTCGTAGGTTTTATTACTTTTCCTTCTACCATCCTAACAATTAGTAAGACTAATTATGAGTAATACTCCTTCTCAACTGTAATACATTTGACACTGGATATCTACATTAGACTTGTAACACATGATCATTTAATAGAAAAAAAAGATCAAGTATAATGAACAGCTTTTCTTCCCATTCTCCAGAAATTAAAATTGTAACCCCGTAATAGCACCATAAGTGCTCAAAAACATGTATTCTGATGTAATACGGTATTTTGTTCATTATTCTTTGCTATGTATATACGTCAAAAAATATTCTAG